TTGCTTGGTTTTTTTTTTTTGGTATTTTGGTTTTTTGCAATAAGGTCTTGCTATATAGTTCAGGCTGCCCTTAAACTCACTATGTAGCCCAGACTGGCTTCAAATTCATGGCAATCCTCCTGCCTCTGCCTCCCAAGTGCTGGAATTCCAGGCATGTGCCTCCATGCCCAACTTTGTTTCTTTAATGACTACTCTTCATTCAGATTATGTTTTGGGAGAGATCAATTTTGATAACATATCTTTCTGAAATTGACAGTACTGTCTATATTTTAAAATACCTGTATGTAAAATGGTTCATAGTGTATTCACATAAATTTTTACAATATTACTATGTCTATAATATATATCTGCTTCCAGATTCATTGGCTTACTACTGTAATAATTATCAAGAAAAGGGACTTGTAATTATAAGTCCATATGGTGCATAGGGACTAAATGCCAAGATAGTAGTGATCTAAAAACATGAATGTAGAGAACAAATCATTTTGATTGCATACATAATATTTTATTATGTTCCTTGATTCTTCAGTAATGCTCTTCAGAAAGACACTGCATCAGTAATTTTATTCTGTTCTTGTGTGTTTTTAAGGCTTTCTGTGAAACTTTAGAAGAGACAAACTACCATCTACAGAGAGAACTACTTGAAAAACAAAAAGAGGTAGAATCCCTGAAGAAACTGCTTAGTGAGAAACAACTTCACATAGACACTTTAGAGAACAGAATCAGGTAGGTTGTGATTCTTGTATTTGTAGTCTTACTAATTTAATTCCCAATGCTCTGGACTAAATGCCCCTCATATTTTAATATGATTTACCATGTTTCTCAATCTGAAAGTTGTACAATCTTGGCCTTGTAAATTGGAAAAATTGCCTTTTGATTTAATTTAGGAGGCTGCACTTTTTTTTTTCTTTTGGAGGCTGCACTTTTGAAGGATGGGAAACATCAGGAAAATCAATATTGCATTGTTCAGCCTAAACACTAACCATTGTAAATAGCATTTTTGTTTCTAGGTATATATGCCAACTTTTCACATGTGAAAGTTCTGGTATATCTATATTAGCATGTATTGAACTGATGCTGAAACTCATTTTAAATTAATTACAGCTGCGAATTTCCCTGTTGTCTCCCCTGGGGAGCAATTAGCCTTGTGACTACATTAGACATAACACCTGAAGACTACAAACACTACATGTATTCACAGAAATGAAAATATAGCCGTTTTATTAATGGAAAATAACTTTTTTCTTTTAAACATACTTTTAGAACATTGTCTGTAGAACCTGAAGAATCATTTTATGTATCTGAAACAGAAAATGGACAGATCCTAAGGGTAGAGTCCTCTGCACTCAAAATTGACCAAGACGTCTTGGACGAAGAATCTAGGTATATAATGTTAACTTTATTGTAGCCTAATCATTTAAATAGTTGCAAGAAAATTGTTCTCATACTCTGTATTTTTTATGAACTCAGTATTGTTATATTATGAATCTGCTGAGCTAATGAACTGTATAAGCTAGGTTCTCTCTAAAAATGTGTCTTTGGCATCAGCCTGTAAATTTTGAAGCAGTGTCTGGATTAACTGGGCTCTGATTAAGTTAATTTATTAGTTTAATAAATCTCAACAAATTACTTTAATCTTCTTCAATATCGCCCATTTTCCATTCAAAAAGTAAAATACCATAATAGCAACCATCCTGCCTATTGCGCATAGGAATGATGAAAAAATAATATATTTAAAGCACATAGAACTTTTATTGCATATCAATCCAGGGTAATTATTAATACTTTAGTGGTAATGTTTGAGCTATAATTATGAGAACAGTTTTATGTTGGTAAAGGTAACTGCACACTAGATTTTTTTATTGGTAAATGGTAATTTGGAGAATTAAGTTTTTTAAAATCTCCAAAAATATTACCTGACATATACAATTTAAAAAATTTCTGATAGAATATTTGATTACCTGTATATTAAATATTTAAGCAGGCTTTCCATGGGTAAAAGATTTTCAAAAGCATTAATAGTGAAATAGCATGCATCCATTCCTTCACTGACATGTTTCTCTCTTTTTACAGAGCTGATAATAAGCCACACCTAAGTTTTAGTGACCCTGAAAATGCTATATCAGAAGTGGAGGTGGCAGAAGTGGCATATAATGCTGAGGAAGACTAACACAACACAAGCAGTTCCCTCTCTTTTGACACGTCAGCAAATTTAGAATAGAGTGGCAAATGCCATTTAAAAAGAAAAAGACTGAAACAGTTACAGAAAGGAACAAGAATTTAAATGTATAATGTTTACATAATTTTTTTTAAGTTATTGGAATCATAAATATATTCACTGCTGCTTTTGTCTTTTATTCAGCCTTGTATTTAATACACTGAAAAAAATCTAGAATTCTGTTATCAATGCGTACATTCTTGAGTATTGTGCATAAATTATTATGGTGTTTTGCCTGTAATGTTGCTTCAGACTAGTGTGTGTGCCTGTGTGTGTGTGTTGGCGCCTGTTTTAAATTGCCAGTTATATTAGTCCAATGGAGTTAATTGCATGTTACTGTCTCTGTGATACATACTTCTTTGGTTGCTGACGTGACATAATTTCCTTAATGGTTTAAATCAGTGAATATCATAGTAAAAGTAATGATGAAATGAGTATTAAATGTTGACATGTTTATCACCTCTAAATAAAAATGACTTATTTGAAATGTTAATATATAAAAGAATAAGATGCTTTTTAGTACCAAAGGAAAATATTTTAAAGAGCTGTCGCCATACAGCTAAAGTGGCAAAATAGCCTTGATGCTAAAATCCAATCCATAATACCAAGATACTGTAAGTATCCTAGTTTCTTAATGTTATAGCTGATTATTTCCCACATAATCTTCATTTTAAATTTCTACCTGTAGATTCGCTAAGTTTGCCTCTTTCAGAAGACTACCTCTTTTTGCTAATCAAGGCATATTCTTTTGAAAATTAGAGTCTAAAGAATAAGGAGTTAAAGAAAACACAGTAAAAAGCCATATTTACTACAAAATTCCTGACTAGCTTGACACTTGACATTGCATTTTTATTTCTGTACATATGTAGATGTTGTTATATGTAGTATGGCTGATTTTCTTTTTAATATATTTAGCCAAGTGATGCACTTTATAATTAAACTATGTTGTGCCAATTGGTGAATTTCTTTAGTAAAGGTAGTGAACTGGAAGAATTATGTAGTGCCTTTACTATTTCACTTTTTACAAACATCTCTGAGGGTGTGAGTCAACTTCACAAAAAATGTTTATGTTTGTTTCAGCTCTGTGTATATTTATCGAAAGTGCCTTGTTTCATTTTTATAGTATGAAGTTATTTGTTGATTCTCTATTTCTACTGTTTTGCATATTGCTGTTAATATGCAGCGCTAGCATTTTTAAATCCCAGCTGGTGTACTGAATTAAATAAGCTTTATAAAACCTGAGAGAATTTTCCTGGGGAAACAGAGTAACAGTCTTTGGGTTTTTTCCCTTTATTATCTAAAAGTTTACCAGTATCTTAGTGCATAGTAAGTTGTGGTTGTTTAAAATTCTATTAACAAGGGCTGAGGATTTAGCTCTGGTTCCGGCGCCTGCTTTGCAATTGCAAGGTCCCTAGTTCAAACCCCGCTACCAAAAGAAATAAAATTCTGTTGACATAAATCAACACATCCATTGGCTGTTGTTAACTTTTGTTCTTAAAAGGAGATTATTTACCAAAGTACCTAAATTTTAACTCTTTGTCAGAATACATGGGTATTCTGGCTAGAAACATTTTCCACAAAGTATATTAGAAATGTGTTTATTATCTTTAGAGGCAGAAATAAATATAATAAACTAAAGTGCTTATTCATTTTTAAATTATTATTCTAGATTCTTAAAAATGCTTATGATGGGCCGGGGATTTAGCTCAGTGGTTCCACCACCTGCCTCCAAAGTGAGAGGTCCTGAGTTCAATCCCCGGTACCCCCCCAAAAAAAATGTTTATGATGAACAACCACGTAAATTAACACTACTTTTGGGCTGGGGATTTAGCTCAGTGGTTCTGCCGCCTTCCTCGAGAGTGCAAGGTCCCAAGTTTGACCCCCGGTACCAAAAAAAAAAAAAAAAACAGACAACACTATTTTCAGCCTAATAAAACAAGATGATCTTTGCCAAGTTCCATATGCTATAGTGCTACATGATTATCTTAAAGGGAACCACATATTTTAAAAATCCAGCTTTTCAGAAGACTGTATTTAAAGTTTTGAATCAGGGAAGAAAATTAGGTATTTATATTTAGAATTTTTTACTTTTGCATTTTACTCCCAGTATTATATTCATTTAATCATTTTTTTTCATTTACAACAGTAGCTGTGTTTTCCAGTGTTGAATAGCATTTCCCTTCTACTTTCTATGTTCTCCCTGTTCCTACAATTATTGTAAATTGAATTGTATTTAAAGGCTATATTTCACAGATGTGGAATGAGTCTGTGATTTTCTAAGTTTATATTTTATTTCACTCATCATCTTTCAGAAGCATTTGTGAATAGGTGCAGTGCATTTCATATGTAAACAATATTAATAAAACATTGAATGTAACTGAAAACAATTTTGTCAATAATCTTGTAACTTAAACTTTTAAGACTTAAGTTCATGTATAGGTAGTGCAACCATCCAACATAGCATTTTAAAATGTGCTTCTGTCTGCTACTCTGAGACCAGCCACTTAAAGTGCATTTATTTAGAAAACTGTTCCTCTTAAATCATCTATATAGTCTGGCTTAACAGTCTGTGATATTAGAAGGGAAGCATGGCCCTGGGTCCTGAAAATAATTTGTCTTGTTTTGAAATAGATTTTATTACTTATAGGAATAGAAGCGTTCAGAAATTATGCTGAAAGAAATTCATATGCCCAACTACTAGAGAGAGGAATCTCAACTTCATCTTGGGTGATCTGCAGAAAGTTACGTATTGAAGCACATTCCTGCTTATAGTATTACCTTTACTGCATTCTACTTTGTTTTTTGTGCCCTTGACTTTGAATGGCAAAAACAATCATTGAAACTTATATTTTCAATACATGTGTTTTTAAGATTGACAGCTGCTATATCACAGAAATCCCCTTTGTGAGGACCCAAAGGAAGAAATTGTCTTTGGGCTCACAAGTAGTAAAACCTGTGCTTTTCCCAAACAGTGAATTTGTTTTTAATCTTAAAAACTGATACTCTTAAACAATTTTTATTGTCTTTTGACAATAGGATATAGGTATATAGGATTGTATGGGTTGTACTTTTGTGTGGTAGACATGACCTTATTTTTTTTATCTTTTAAACTCCAATATTCTTTCCTATTTAACTTATTCCATTAGAACACATCTTTTTTATTCTGATATATTTGAATAACATGCAGCCCACGTAGGTTCAGTAAGTGAAAGGCAATAGGTGCTTCATGATAGTAGATACAGGTGAAAATAAGTATTAACTTTCAATAATACCATGTTTACAGTCTAATTGTAATCAAACTGGTATTAGCATGGGTCACATTATAGCTGAAGTCCTTCGCTGAAGTGTGACACATGAAACTTTCCATGGAGTTAAGTCTAACTGGAGGATTCTGCCTCCAGAATTAGCCAATCTGCCAGTCTAAACTTCCAGATCCTTTGGACAGCCACCACTGTTCGTTGGCTAACCCAACAAATATTTATTTGCATCCCTCTTCTGCTTTACCACCAACATGGTAGGAATTTGAAAAACTTGTCTTCTCAGCTCCTCTTAGAGTTAGCTTTCAGTCTGTGTCACTGCTATGGCCGATGAGACAAATAGGAGTCTGCAGGTAGATTCTGGGAGATCTTTTCTCCTAAGGAGAAGTTCTACTGTAGCTACAGCCTATCCTCTTCCTCTTGTTTTGACCTCACATGATGTTTAGAGGTGCTACAGTAACCATTTTGCAAAATGAAGTGTGACCAATAGAGAAGAGCAAACAAGTCAGTCTCCAGCCACTCATTAAGCCATTGAGTTTGCTGTTAATTATACCAAGATAAAAACTTTTAAGTTTGGTTTGTGAATTGTAAATTCAAGGGGGAAAAGCTTTTTTTTTAAAAAAAAAAAAAGTTTTCTGGGGGCTGAAAATGTAGCTCAGTGGCACTGCACCTGCCTGGCAAGCACAAGGTTCTGAGTTTGATTCCCAGTACCCCCCCCACCCCGCAAAAAAAGGATTTCTGACTATTAATGATACTGTACATTTTGCCAGCAAAGAAAACTTTTCCTGAAAGTTAAAGAAAAGAACATCTATTAGATGTATCAAAAGTTCCTTCTGAGACTCCTGGAAAATGAAATGTGTATGAAACAAAAAACAATTTTTCTATACACATACATATATTAGTCACCTTGAACTGCTATTAAAAAATACCACAGACTAAGTGGCTTAAACCACAGAGATTTTATTTTCTTACAGGTCTGGAGGCTGGAAATTCAAAATCAATGTGCTGGAAAAATAGAGTTCATTCAAAGGCCATTTCTTTTGGCTTGTAGGCAGCAACATCTGACATTTGTTCAAATGACCTCGTGTAGTTTTGAATGAGCATTCTGATATCTCTTATAAGACCAATCAATTCAGATCAAGACTTCACCATCATGACCTCATTTAACCTTGATTACTTAGAGACCACATCTCCAAATAGGACCACACTGTAAGGTTAAGAATTCAACATATGAATGGAGGGGTTGTGCGTAAACATGCAGATCATATTAGTATACTATGGCAGTAACATCATTAAATGTTTGCAAAGGAATCATCCACTTCAAAGGATTAGACAACCTATTCTTTCATCTATTCATTCAACAAATATTGACCCTCTACTCTGTGTTGGCCCTGAGTTATAAAAATTATTAAAGAGATTTGTGTTCTCTTCAAGTTCAAAGTGATCAAGCCTTTTATATAGGCTGGTCTGTATAGAAGAAGGGGCATCCATCTGGAGCAAAATTTACATTTTGTTAGCAAAGGAAAAGGAGAAAAGTTGTTTCTCTTTTAAGCTAAAGGGGAGAGAAATGTCTGTTCATCATGTCAAAGACTTCTGAACTCCTAGACTCCTTCAGCAAACCACATATGTGATTTGCTGTGGTAAATACGGGGATAGAGTTACTCATGGTGAAAGCCAGGTGTAAAGGCAAAGATTAGCAAAAAGCACAAGTCTACACTTTACCCCTTAAAAGCAGAAGAGAAGGCATGCCAAGCAGAAGGGTGGACTTCAGCCTGTGCAAGTGACAGCTATCATCCTGACCCGGTCCTGTACCTCCATTCCATCCAGCATGCCAGTTCTAGCTTCAGAGTGGGGCAGAAGTTCACCCACCCAATGTTATGAGTCAGAGAGGAACACAGCAATCCTGATACCTTCAACATGGTATTTTATTTAAGCATATATTCACTTGCTAATATTCTGCTAAAAGTCTAAGGGCTTTCTGTGAGTACTTTCACTAATGAGCATTTCTGTCTTTTGGTAAACCATATCCCTAATGCATTTTCTGATTACCAGCTTTGGTGTCTGCCACCTGATGACAGAGACATGTACGAAGAAATCTGTGACAGGCTCAGTTCTTGCTTTTTCTCCTTCAGTTTTGTACTGCAAACTTGCCCTTAATTTTACCAAGTCGTTAAAAATTCCTTGACCTAGTTTTCCATAGAGATGATGTTTTGTACTTGTACTTCATTACTTCATAGGACTATAAATTCTTTAAAATTTAATTTTAAATCTAGCTGGTATACACAGATTTGGAAACAAAATTGAGTCTTGGTAATCATACATCTCCTTGTGGGTCAGAAAAGTGCAAGAACCCACCAGCCATGAGCACTCAGGGTACAGTGGTTCTTGGCATGTTTTATAGAGAGGACAGAGGATCAACTAAGTGTGTGTGTCCCAGGGTTGAGAGTGGGGACGTTTGCCTCATACTTTAGATCGATCTAATTTTCCTTATCTCCACTGGCATCACCCTGGTCCAAGCATGAGTGTATCTCATGCAACCACTACAACAGTCCCAACTGACTTCCTGCTTCCACTTTGTCTACACTAGAATCTGTTCCTTCGTTGTAACCACAGTGTTCCCTCTGAAAACCTTAACTTGTATCTTGTTTTCCCTCTCCCTAAAAATGTTAATAATGTAAAATTCAGACTCCTTTACAAGGTACCTAAACATGGTTTCACCACTGCAAACTGGTCTCTGCAATCAAGAGCATACTAAGAACAAAGATGAACTCCTTCTGGCTTATCAAGCTCTCCCATCTCCTATCCCTGCCCATGCCCTGTCTCAGATGCTCTTTCCAGACTCCACCCTTCAAGTCCCAGGTTAAATTTTTCCTTTTCAGATTGCCTAAAGTAGTCACCTGAATCCCAAGTTTATTATTTACTTACTTTCTGTTTCACCTTCCCATCCATCACAACCTCCAAAGGGCAAGACTGTCTATTTTCCTCTAATCCTTGACCCCTTTTGCCTAGAAGAGGTTCTATCACATAGTAAAGGCTCAATATTTATTGAGTGATTAAGATTGTAACAGCCTGAATGAGTTATTAGAGAAAATAGAGGTCAATAGCAGAAGATACTTGTCAAGAAAATTCAAGTCTTGGGAATTGATATTCTCTGGGTAGACTGTTGTGCTACCAAGCGATACACTTACAGAGGGTAGGGGAGGTCTAGGTAGGCAAAATACAGTGCTGCTCTTTGGGACATGCTTGGTCTGCATACTACGGACAATCCAGGAGGAGATCTCCAGTAGGCAGGCAGAGACAACTGCCAAAATTCAGGGCAAAGGTCTGCCTTAATAGAACCGAAGTCAGATTAATGGTAAGGTCTTCCCCCTCTTGTGTGTCCTATCCCTTGCCTGTAGTACTGTGGTCTAGAACATATTAGAGCCTCATTTGTTATCAGAATAAAAACAAAGAGAACCAGAAATGCATGACACCATGTGTTCCATGGACAAGCATCATGGAAATATGCCTAATGGGCCCAGGTGTCTCATCCAGTTAATTTGTTTTTCATCCCACAAGTAATTTGTTATCACAGATTGTGTGTTTCTGCCTTCAGGAGAAATGTAATAATGGTACAATATCACAGTTTCATCCTTGTTCTTTGCTTATTTTAATAATAATTGGTATTTAAAGCAAAGTTTAAAAGGAAATTCAAATATAGTGGATAGTAAAATTAAAAACTTGGTATCAATCAGAGAAATATGAGAAATGAAAACTATGATCAAAGAAATGAGAAATCTATATCTACAAGAAACCAACATATTAGATGAGAAATTTTTAATAGTGATTTTAGTATAGTATGTGGAAATGAACTCGGTCCATTTTGTGTGGGGCTGAATTGATTTGAAAACAACACTTCTGGAGCTAATTTGGCCACAAAACTATTTAAAATGTTCATAGCCTTCAGCCCACCAATTACACTTCTAGAGACTGAAAGACATATATGTGATGTGTAAAGATTTAACTTAAAGGATATGCATTATATTTATTAAAAATATTACAATGCAAACTCTCCAGTACTAAGGGGATCTGTTAAATACTGCATGGCATGTAAAAAGGCGACTTTTTTGTGAAGTAATATTGCAGAA